ATTTTTTTTTGAACGTTAAATATTATGCTTATTGCCTGAATATAACTAAAAAAATTAAGATAAAAATTTGAACCCTTGTTTCAAACCTAGGTAAACAATAGAATAAATACTATAAGGAGTACAAAAATAATTATGGTAACGGTTAAATTAAAAATGCATTAAATATTTATCATATAATACACCGGATACAGAAGATGTAATATTACCACAAATTTGCTGGAGCTATCTAAAACAATACACAAAACTATACCATATAGAATTTAGAAAAATCAATGTGAGTAAATACAATCCGCTGGTTAATTAAAAGAATAAATAAATAAATAAAATCTGTCTTTGAAGCAAAGTCAGCTAGTTTTAGTTCATAAAACAATATTTATCACAAGTATATCTCCCTTCAACTTTGTCCGAATGAAAAACCGACGTACATAAACCTAAAGAGGACGATTTCGGGTGTCATCCTTGCACTTTTGTAACTTAATTGCAACATATTATTTTTATAACTCACTTCATAACCACCGATTCTGTAACTGTAAACTGGAATAAATGATAAAGGACTTTATGAATATTGTATTGCTTTAATTCAGTTCATGTTTGTGTTCTAAATGTACAATTATAAAACAGCTGCATCAAAAATTAAAATTGTGTCAAAGTTCCAATAAAATTTTAAGATGTGGTTACTTTAAGATATTAATGTTTTGTTATAAATATCATATATAAAAGTTTAAAAGTACGTTAGTACAAGTTATCAGTTAACTTTTGTGGTTTGGAATTGATGCTTCTCACACATGTATATTGGGAAATGAATGCAAGGATGTCAACATTGATAAACTAAAATCCGCTTACAAAATAAATAAAAAGATGTGTCTTACCTAGCACTTAGTACTCCCCGCTCTCCCTCATTTGTGTGGACTATCCCTGTCACCACTACCACTATACTATGAAAGACACAGCACTAACGATAATACTATATAAATTCCTGTATAAATTCATACTATATAAATTCTTGCTATATAAATTCATACTATATAAATTCTTGCTATATAAATTCATACTATATAAATTCGTGTAGTATGTAATAATATACATCCGCCCGGCCTTTATCCTAAAATTCAGTGAGAAACTAAGGTGCATTATTAACAGAGGAAGGTTCGATGAAATGTGAGAATACATCTAGAATCTATATGTCACTAAGGCTAAATGCGATGCTGACATTTATAAAAACATAACGCTAGGTTTTAAACCTATATATTAGGATTTTATTCAATATACTGGATGTTTTTTACTGTCTGGAAAAAATACGTTGTACAAGCTCGTGGCAATGATATTTTATATTTTTTTTTATTTTACGTTAACATATCATGAACTTGATCTATCAATAAATAAATACTCGTACTACTAGCTGGGTACGTATAGGTAATTTTAATTTCGATAGTTTTTAGTTGATTTATTTATTTAGTTCAAAAATTTTATTGTTATTTTTTAGTACCGAAAGTATATTTCAGATTAGTAGTATTTATTGATAGATCAATTGCATAATGTGTTAATGTAAAATAATTTGTAAAATATCACTGCCATAGGTCACTATTCCGTTCACCAGTTACACGCTATTTTTACCTCTTGTTACAAATTTTGAAACTAAACTTGTTTCGCAGAAAGGGTCATATCAGGAAATTGTTATTTTCATCATAGAAAGGCGACTTACGAGTACGAGCATGCCGGTTATCTGATGGTATGGTGACTACTGTGGCTCATAGAAACTTATAAACAGTTCACAATCCCAGGAAAGGCTAGATATTTATTATACTTTAGGACTAGAATAAAGCCTTATAGACTCATATACACTCTAATATTTTCCACCAGAACGTACACGTATGTGTAATGTGTGCACTAAAATGCTTGGCGATAAAAACTGGAAAGAGTCAAACCCAGATGATGATGAGAGATATAAAGGGAGTATTACCATCTTTGTTTTATACGCAAGTATATCAAACCTCATAAGGTCTTAAGGTTTTAGTATAACTTTAAATTAACTATATATTTTCTTGTATCTTGAGTTTCTTAGTTTGCGTCACTGGAGGTGTGAAAGATGCTTATCGGAGCTTGAAAGACAGATTGTTTCCACCTTTTGTCAATGAAGATCGTGTTGTATACTTATTGATTTATTTGTTACTGATCTCGATTAATTGGGAACAAGGGTATTATATTGATTTCTTATAATTACACGATTATTAAACCCTTAATAAAACTAACTTATATATATATATATATATATATATATATATATATATATATATATATATATATATATATATATATATAATTGAACGTATTTTTAATTATTTTGATTCCTGATGTTTCGTGTACTCTACAGCACCCAGATCAAAGTCGGGTAAAGGTTGAGGGATGTAAAATTAACTCGGGCTATCTTCAGCTTTAGAATTATACTTTTTGGTCCGATCTACCCAGAACAAGCTTACAGTAGGTCTTCAAGGATCTTGAAGTCTTGCAGTTGTATGCTCAGGCCTAGATTTAATTTTATTACCTATAGAAATAATCCCAAGTAGATGGTAGCATCCAACCATATCCTATATTAAATTTGGATGTTTTTTTAATTTTGATAGCTTCGCCAATCAATCCTTGGTAGAAATCGGCGTTCTTTTGCGAGTATTGGCCGTTTATAAAATGTTATGTTAATGGCTTTGACGATCTTGAACATGTCTGTAGTTTGCAGTTTGAGAACTTTTTTATATAGAAGAGGGGGCAAACGAGCATTTGGCTCACCTGATAGTAAGTGACAACCACCGCCCATGAACATCTGCAACACCAAGATCATTGCAGGATCGTTGCCGGTCTTTTAGAAAGGAGTAAGCACTTTTCTTGAAGGTTCCCAAGTCGTATCGGTCCGGAAAATTTGCTAGTGATAAACGATTCCACAAACAGAACTAAACAACACCTGGTTTAAGGCAGGTATGCAGATGGGCGGGAAACTCAGCGTTCAACACATACACATACACGGTTTTGTCTTGCAGGAATGACTGCTCCAAATATATGCCATAAAAGCTATACAAAACCATGAACGGTTTGCTTCGTCTTTCGTGAATCTGTTAGCGTTTATCTTTCCATTTAATTAAAATCGAATTGTCTTCAAGGTTATAATGAATAGGCTTATGTCACTTCGAGACAATGTGCCATATTTTGACCACTTACCACTAGGTAAGATTGTAGTTAAACACTGGCTTATAATAAATAAAAGAAATAATTCCAGAAACGCTCGGCTTAGATCTTAAAGTACTCCGCTTAAGCGTTAGGCTAAGTTTTACAAGACTCTTAATCGTTAAGTTCATAAACAAAACACATGTTTGGTATGTATTGTTTTACTACAGAAGGATGATCAATTTATATAATTTAAAAAAAGTATAAATTATTTTACTTATTAGAATTGATGAACGCTTTTGATTTAGCTTTTTGTTAAATAGTGTCGCCTGCTTTTAACCCTTTTTAACTTGATAAATTTATAAAAACCCTGTCAAGGTAAAGAAAGCCTATGATATATGGTGGAAAGAGCTTAGAAAAACAAATCAGTAATGGGGAACAGGATTTTATTTTAACAATGACATAACTTTTCAAGATATAAACCTAGACGACTCATTTATTTTTCACCTTAATCTTCTGACGGATTGAATAGTGTTAATAATATCTACAGTCTTCCTTCTCTTAATCAAACATTAGATTTGCACTTCTCAGATATACTAAATTTTTTAACATTATCGGTATGTCCATCCTCATACTCTGTTTATACTCTGGGCATTACCGAAAGTATTCCTGCACGTGATCCAGACATGCTCTCATCATTTCATAACAAACACGTGCATACAATTTTGATCTCCGATTCTTGGCTTAAGTCTCGTTTGTCCTCCACATAATATGCTCATCCAGGCTTTCAACTAATAAGGAAGGCTCGCTATACTCGGGTTGGTGGAGGTGTTGCCACCTGCCTTCGCTCGCATTTACCATTTACAAATATTCTAGGTTCTTTTTTCTTGTACCACAACTATATTCCGCTAAAAAGTAACACGTGCTCTAATTTACATATTCTCCCTTTTTCTGCTACTCATTTTTTCCAAATTATTCCCCATCTCTTCTTCGTTTTATGGGTCCGCGAGACGATCAAGTGCACTTGACAAGTCTACGTGCTTGACGATTTCACTTGACGAGGGACTTGACGCGACTTGAAGGTGCCGTCAAGTCCACATGCCGCAGTCGTTCACCGCCCTGTGCTCAGGAAAGTGGTCGTCGCAAAAATTAATAATGGTTTCCAACGCAGACAAGGCATTCCTTGCTATAACTCTAGCGGTATCTATCAAAGAAAAAAAGAAAAGAAAGAGGCGATGGTGTAAGAAATGGTATAAAATGAGATATCGATTAGGCAAAACCATTTCCATGGAAAATCTTTTGAAACATTGTTGGAGTTGATTCAACCCAATATTGAAAAGCGATACCAATATGCGACAAGCTATTCCTGCCAGCCAAAGGCTCTCTATAACTCTAAGGTACTTGGTCACTGGTAAGGACTTGGAAGATTTAAAGTTTATGAGTGCTGTCGCTCCTCGTACTTTGGATTTCATAATACAGATATTAACCAAAATAATCATAACAAAAATTAAAAAATTAATGTGATGGTGAAATATGAGACAGACAAAACAGAAAACTTTTTATTGGTTTCTTTTATTTTATCTTGTATGGCTCGGTTGTGCAACCGATTCATACCCAAAAAGTTCTCAGTTTGGTCTATAGAAGTTACTAAAAAGAATAGAAGTGTTGTAAGAACTTAGCCGCAGTCTGTGATTCTTCTTCTTCAGTAGTTGGTTCTGGTATATGAATTACGGGCTGTTCATGAGATACACTTGGCGCCTGCATAGGTTGAGATGGCACAATTATGAGTGACCATGCACCGGTGTCTTGCCTATGACTTGTGAGTGTGACTGATGTGGTGCGGGTGATTAGTATGTCGTAGTTGAATGGAGTGCATTTGGTGATGGCACAGGTGATGGTGACTGATGTGGTGCGGGTGACTGGTATGTTGTAGTGGAATGGAGTGCATTTGGTGATGGCACAGGTGATGGTGACTGATGTGGTACGGGTGACTGGTATGTCAAAGTTGAGTGGTGCCTACTTGGTGATGGTGACTGGTGTGTCAACGTTGAGTAGTGTACATTTGGTGATGGCACAGGTGATGGTGACTGATGTGGTGCGGGTGACTGGTATGTCGTAGTTGAGTGGAGTGCATTTGATGATGGCACAGGTGATGGAGACTGATGTGATGCGGGTGACTGGTATGAGTATGTGTATGTGGGTGAGCTAGCTGGCAAAATCTGAACTCCGTTTCTTGACAGTGATCCCATTTCGGCTTCGAATAAAATGTCATTTATTATTTTCTCCGCATAGCGTCTTTGATCTGCTGATAAACGTTTAATTTAAGAGCCCAGCCCTTCGCAATTATATCCGATTCAGAGTCATCAGGTTTTTTGAAATAATGCGATGCTATATCTATCAGGTCCTGCTTCGATGTGTTTTTGCTTTTTTTTTTTTGGTTGTGGTATCTCTTTTTGATAATTCGATGACCCGGAAGCCTGTAAAAAATTAACCAATGTTTGTACTATTCACACTAGAAAAAAGTAGCCAAAGAGTTCGAGAGACGATGGAACTTTCCCAACTGTATAGGTACTGTTGATGGCAAGCTCATCGAAATAGAAAAACCTTCAAATTCTGGATCTTACTATTTTAACTATAAAAAGACATTTAGTATTGTTCTTATGGCTATTGTAAACGCCAATTATCAATTTATGATGGTTGATGTTGGTGCAAATGGACGGATGTCAGATGGTGGAACTTTGAGAAATACAAAGTTTTGGCAATTGTTATCTGAAAGTGAAAACAAACTTAATATTCCGGAGCCATGTGAGTTACTAGAAAGCGATAAAAAGTTTCCGTTTGTACTGGTAGGTGACGAAGCTTTCCAACTGACTCCAAACTTCATGAAGCCATACAACAAAGCCGTCTTGACAGACGAAAGAAAATGCAGGTTGTCAATGACAGGTTGAAAATGCTTTTGGTATCCTGTCTTGGCGATTCAAAATATTTAAAAGACATTGGACTGCATCCCGATAATAAAGTTGTTTTGGCTGCCTGTCACTTACACAACTATTTGTGTGAAAAATATAAAAACTATATTCAAAAAATATATTCAACAAAAAAGATATTCATATAGAAGAACCAAATACCACAGTCACAAGAGGTGCGTGGAGACAAGGACGCCAATTGTTAAATATAGAGCGAGTACGAGGAAACTCGGTAAATGAGGCAAAAAGAGTGAGAGATGACTTTTGCGAGTACTTTAATTGTAACGGTTCAGTCCCTTGGCAAAATAATTGCCTTATTTAGTTATTTAAAAACATAATTAAAAGTAAAATGTATCTTTGAATTGTAAATAAAAAATGTTTTACCTCACCGCTTAAACTGCTTTCAGTATCACTTATACACATTTGGTCTGACAGAAATGACAGTTCATTGTAATAGTAGAGTGATGGTTTTGGTACATCATCGGGAGACGCGCCAGACCGTTGTGCTTGTTCAATATTTTTTCTTTCTTTGTTGAAGTTAGTTATTAATGCATTAATTTTTTTCTTCAATAAATCTTCGGTGTAGGCAGGTTTATATACTCGAAGTGCTTTGACTATGCTTGATAAAGCAAGCGACCTTTTGTTTTTATCCGCATACTCCTTACTTTTAATTTTCCACAATGCAGGATAATTTCTGTAGAGAGATATTAATAATAACACAAAATCACGCTCGGTAATTAGGTCGGCGCTTGCCGCCAAAGCCACCTCTCGGTCCGGTTCGTCATCCGCCATTTTCGATGTTCCGGCCGCAAATGAATAAAACTTGTCAAGTCGCGTTAAGTCGCATCAAGCGCAAGGTGGTTCAAGTGCCAGCAAACAAAATTTTTGTCAAGTATGGTCCAGCCCGTAGATACTTGACGGGACTTGTCAAGCCAACGCTGTAAACGATCAATATTCACTTCAAGCACGTAGACTTGTCAAATGCACTTGATCGTCTCGCGGACCCATTATTATTGTTTCTTCCGTTGTTTATGTTGATAAACATGGTCAATGTCCTGCTGATGCATTTTCATATCACGACTTGATTTACTTATCATACAAATTACAACCACCTAAACTTAAATAATAATAGTAATTAAGGTGGTATGTGTTTAGATGATCTAACACATGATGCAGCGATGATCGACGTGTCTGTTGTTCTTACTGGAGCTAATATCGACGAAAGAGTGGGTAGTTTTAATTCTTTTCTAGTATGGCCGTCAATGATTCTCTTATATTAACCTTCTCTTTGTACTTAAATGTCTATATATAATTATTCCCTGTTTTAATAATGATGAAGATGTCTAATCTGTGATTTAAGAGACGAATAACGAATTATTCTCATTTGTTGAGAAAAATATACACTTTTTATGGGATAATGATGATAGAATTAATTACATTCATATTGTTGATACATTTCTAAGCTATATCCGTCAAGGTATTCGAGATTGAGGTGTTTGACGTCCCAATGTCATAGTTAATCACGGCTATATTCAGATTAATCTCAGTCCCTCCCCGTGACCATGGGTGCTGTAAAGTTCTCGAAACGGAATAAAAAATAAATTAATATACACGGTAAAATTCGTAAAAACTAGTTTTATTTAAATAACAGATTTTTTATGCTTGGCCAGTGGATATTTGATCCTTGACCACATCACCACCACCATGAGGTAGGATAGTACTCAAGTATTGGTTAAAAATAGGCGTGAATTGTTGAAATGTATGCAGGGTGAACAAGTCCTAACCTCAAAATCTTCATATAGCGATAAAACGACTCTTCCTATTGGATTCAGAATTTTTTGGGACACCTTAGTGATTGACACGCTTATAGAGGTCTGAGCCAAATCATGAGCTTAAGACGAGCTTAAGAATTTAAGACGATTGGTAACTAATAATATTTTAGTAAGAGTTACGATGTGGTAAAAGTCCTATTCTGACCAGAAATTTGGATAAATAGTAGATACCACCCTCTTCCTCCGAACGGGTTCCCGTCTTGTCGTGACGAGGGGTTTAGTAGTCGTGGCTCGATCACCCGCGGTGAACAAAGAGGAACCCACTTGGCCGGCCCGCGGTGGCCACGATAGGGCTTGGCGAGCTCACTTCGGTGCAGCCGAGGTGGAGTTACGGGGGAAGAGGAGTGCTCGTATGGCGATCGCCCACTCGATCACTCGATCCTCCGTGAATCTGATTGGGCCGCACCGTTGACGCGGTGGTGGCTGGGTCGCGGGGAGAGGAGTGTCGGTATTGCGTGGCGCCGCTCCCCCACCCTCCGTGGCCGAAACTTGGTCGGCGGCGGAGCCAGAGACCAGATCCGCTGTTGGGTACGGGAATACAGGTGCTACCGAGCGCTCAATTTTCGTTATCTCATGGCCTCCGCGTATGGAGAAAGCCGTGCCTTGTGTTCTGGTTTGCCTTGCCTGAGAAGGAGAATGAGGAAGAGAAGTCGTTTCTCGAGGATCGCCAGTCATAGGGCGGCCAGCGATGGTGGGGTCGCGGATGTGTGTGAAAGCGTTTCTGTGGCCTGCCAGTATGCGGCGAAGGTGGAACACCATGGGCTTTCAGTCGGTTCGAGTCCGACATATGTCATCCTTGCCCTCTCGAGTACCACTCTCTGAGCTATATCCGTTGCTAAATAGTAGTGTTTAAACTACTGTGTTGTTTTAAGGGTATAGAAAGCCAGTACAAAAATCACAAGCTGTGGGTTATTCCCTTTTATCACGCATCTGTCACCTTATTTGATTGAAGTTAGCTGCAATTGTCCATAGACTGCAGTAGGAGTTACCATCAGGTGGACTGTAGCTTCATTTGTTATTTTGTTTCATAAAAAATGGGGTAGTAATCGTCAACTGTCACACAATTACAAACTATTTTGGCAAACTTTTTTTTCAACCAAACAATCAAATACAATCCTGGTCAAATTAATAAAGTTATTTTTGTAGAATAAGGATGACAAACGAGTACACAGTCAACCTGATGTTGATGTAGATATCCACATGTCTTCGAATAATAATAAAAATATGCAGATGTTTTGCACTCCAGAGGACGAAGATAGAATGCCCCGTTTCCAGTAAAAACTGTCTCCGGTTCTCTACACTCACCGTACAAAACCCTTGAAACATCCTCGTAGCATTAAGCTGCTATTTTAAGCTAGTATTCTGTGAGGACTGGTCATTCCCCAATCGAGCCGACCCAATGGTGCTAAAACCATTATGTAGCTGCAGTATAACTCAAACATGTGGCGGGTCAAGGTAAAAGTTGCAGGTATTTGATGAATTAATAAAAAAATACCGTGATTCGTATTAAATACTACAAGGCTACTTTAAAGCTGGATATTGAAAAAAAAAACTACTGTAAATTATTAGAAGTGGTTTATATTTATATAGCTAAAGTCTTGACTGACTTTGATGAAATTTTTGTTTTTGTGTTTTAGTGGTTCTCTGGATGTTTTAGATTTACTATTACACCCGGCACCCACCCACTCGGTACCCACCCGGTAGGTGGCGCTGTTGTCGAGATCCAAAAATCATCCGTGTGAAGCCAGGGCGGATAGCGAGTATATGATAAAAATTCATGAATAAATAAAAGATATTTATTAATCAAAATTACTAAAGTTATTTATATCGAATATTTTTTTATCTTATGCGGTAAATATTGAAATATCTGTAAAAAATAATTTAAGAAAAAAATTATATTTAATTTGTTACGATTGAAGATTGATTATTACTTAGTTTTACTAACAACAAGGCACGTTTTTATTTGTGGTACACACTGACTTCGCTTACTCAGTGCTCAATTTGAGTCCACTACGCAATGGCCTCCGGGCTGGACGCTTCCTTTTTACTTTACCTTTGTTACGCTTGCCACGGAATTTATTTCTTATTCGCGCGTTGAGTTGCGCTTCCTGGGCGGTTGGTGGTTGCCGGGGGCAGTTAGCACTGTGACATACAGTTAAAAAGATCACACTTTTGGATTATATTCATTCGGACCTAAAAGATTTTTTTGATAACATGTAAATTGCTGTGTTACATTATTTATCCATGATCCGTGATAGCTCAGATGGTTAGCGCTCACTGTAAATTTCCCAGTTCGCGAGCAACCCGGATTCGATCCCCGCCGGCACCAATGAAATTGTTAATTCCTATTTTAAGTGTTGATTTACCACGTGTTCGGCAACGAAGGAAAACGACGTGAGAAAATCTGCATGTCAGATAATTAACAAAAAAGATTTTTTTCAAAGACATGCG